TTCCAAGGTCCTGGCTCCTGCTCAGCCAAACCTGACCTGCTGTAGGCAATGGGAGAGCTAATGAATGGGATGTGTTTCTCCGTCTCCCTACTTCTCAGATAAACTGAAGGACTAAATACCTTAAAATATTTTTTGTTATGTTGAAAGAATTGTGTGTGTTTATATACATTTAACAGGCTAAATACACATATGAAAACATAGCTACTTGATATTGTATATAGACATATTTAATATTTCAAGTATTAGTTACAGAATGAAGTTCCAAAATAATTGTAATTGACCAGAAAAAGCCTCATATGCATTAATTGAATTTACCAATAAAAGGAGAACTATGTTCATAAGCATCTATAATTTAAGAAAAAAAAACAATGTAAACCCTGCCATTTTGGGACTATTATTGTCCTCTTGTTTTTAAATAGGAAGAAAGCAAGGTTCATAGACAGGAACGAACCCATGGACATGAGTCTCTAAAGTAATGATTCAACACAGTTGTGCCTGAATACAGACTCTGATTTTCTACCACTGAGCTACTAAAATAGTAGTAACAACTATTATTATTAACAACACTGAGGGATAACTGTGTTAATGACTTTCCCAGATGGACTAACCATGGCTTGGATAGGTAAAGGACTGGATAAGAAAGTGTGGCCTCGGGCTGGTCCTTGGACCATGCTCTGTGGCAGAGCAGCCACCATTCAGGCTGGTTGCCCATGGGGCACAGACACAGTCCTATGTTCATGGGAACCTAGAGGTGCAGGTGGTAGGGGGTCTGGGGATTTGTCAGTGGGGGTGTGGGGAGATCTGAGGCCTCGTATCCAGACTGGTGGAAAGGGCCTGAGGATTTCCCCACATGTGTGATCCATGGATTGATCAGGGAAGAGAGGAAGATGTGTGGGAGGAAAGACTACTAAAGGAATATGTTGCAGGTAAGGAATGACTTCTGAGGGACTCCCACCAACAAGGGACTGTACTTGCAGGTAGGTGAAGGGGCTAAGACCCAGTGGTTGGAAGGTGGAAGGAGCAGGACTTCTATGATTCAGACAGACAACCCAGCCCATATGGAAGATTACAGTTAGGCTAGTTAGCATAGACCACTTACCAGTGCATACTAAAGCTAAGGCCTACCTAGTAGGGCTAGATCCCAGTACCCAATGGTGAAAGTCAAAACAGGGGACAGGTAATGATAGGCTGGGCCATAAGAGAACCAAGTACAGGAGGCAGATTCTCTGGGGAATATATGGGCCCACCCCAGTGAAACTGCAATTTTCACTGGTTTGTTTAAGAGCTGGAGGCAGTGATTAGCTGAGCTAGGCATGACCATGAAACCCTCTGACATTCATGAGTACTGGGGTTGGGAACAGGCAGGGCTGATCCAGGCTGCAGCATCCATAGATGCACCCAGGAAAAAGGTGTGAGCTGGGCTGGGCTGGGCTGGACCATAACATCTACCAGCTCATACAAAGACTCGGGTGGAGGGAGACTATGCTGGGTAAAGGCCTAACACCTGGTACATGTGAGATCTGATTCTTGGAATGGGCCCGATCAGGGAACTTGGGAAATTCCCCCGGGGTGGCATAAGTCCTGCTGGCGAGCATGTGAATCAGGCCTGGGTGTTGGTCATGGTAGGCAGGGCAGCTCAACCCATTGGCAGGTATGTGTGCTGGTTCTAGAGGAGAGTGAACTGGGAAAAGCTGGGTTGAACACTAGCTCACTGGCATATGCAAGACCCAGGCTGAAGTACAGGTCATACCAGGCTAGGCTATCACATCTATGAGTTTGCATGGGCCAGGGATAAGAGATGACTGGCAGGGCTAGGCTGCAGTAACCACCAATGAGAGTTGGAACGGGGGACAGGCCAGGACAGGTAAGGATGCAGCATCCAATGGCAAAGGCCAAGACAGGGGATGGGATATCCTGAGCTGGATCAGAGCAACTGCTGCCACACGTGGGATTAGCAGCTGGGAACGGGCCTGGTTGGGTAGTTAAGGGGAGTCCACAGCTGGATTGTAGTTCTCACTGGTTAGTGTGAAGGCCAGAAGGGGAGCAGCATTCTTGGCTGGATATGACTGCAGTATCCAACATGGATGTGGACTGGGTTTTGGCTACACCAGAGTGAGTTTGACTCCAGCACTCAATGGGGCTTGTGAGAGACAGGATGATGTAGGATAGGCTGGACTGGGTCATGGCACTTGCTGAACCACAAGAGAGCTATGTTTGAGTGTGGGCCAGGTATGGCTGAGCTGTAGCACCCAACAGTAAGAACCAGAATGGGTGTGGGCCAGTTGGGCTATGCTACTGTTCGTGCCAGGACAGGAGATAGGCTAAGGCAATCTGGACCAAAGACTCACTGTTATGTGCTAGATCTGCCACTGGAAGGAGGTCTGAAAGAGAAACTTAGGGAACTCCTTTGTCAGGATGCAGTCCATGCAGATGAGTGCAAGAACCAGGGCTGGGAGCAGGCCAGCCCAGGCCAGGTTGTAATACCCACCAGCATACTTGTGGGGCAGGTCTGAGGGCAGACCACACTGGGCCAGTTCAAAATACCCATTGGCAGATAGAGAACCAGGATAGGGTGTAGGATAAGTCGAGTCAGGCTGCAATACCAACCAGTTCACAATAGAGCTGGGACTTGGGGTCTGGCTGGGTTGGTCTTGGCAGTAGCACCAACCAGCATGAGCTGGACCTGGGGACATGGGCTGGGTCAGGCTACAGTATCTGTCTGCAAAAAGGACCATGCTAGACTGGGCCACAGCACACACTAGCATCCCTGAGACCCAGGTGGTGGGTGGTAGAAGCTAGGTAGGGAGCTCTGCAGCACTCTCCTACTGGGCCACTGCTCTCACTGGTGAATGTGAGAACTGGAACTGGCAGGGCAGGGCTACAACACATATTGGCCTGCATGTGAACTAGGTGAAGGGAAGAGCCAGAATGGGCTAACCAATTATATCCACTGTGCTGGTTGGGCTTTGTCACGGCATCATCTGGCAAATGCTAGGAATGGAGGGCAAGTCCTGTCAGGCAAGACTGCAGAACCACCTGGAGAGAGCAAGATCATGGCTGGGAGTGGGTCCAGTGGGGAAACAGTGAAAACCTCTCTGATGTGCTGCAACTCTCACTGATGAGTATGAGAATCAGGGCTGGGGATAGGCCTAGCTAGAAAAGCAGTGGCATCCACTAATGTAAATGATGGCTAAATAATAGGGTTGGTTGGGTTGAGCTAGGTTTCAATGCCCATTGATGTGTATAAGAGATAAATGGGTCAGTCTGCTGCACATACAGGCAAGCATAGGAACCATGGCTTGGAGCGGTTCTGATGGGGGCTCTGGAGTCACTCTAACTAGGCTGCAGTTCCTGATGGTGAATGTGAGGGTTGAGTGTGTGGTGAACAAGTTGGATTGGACTGCAGTATCCATTGGTTAACGCATGAAGTGGGACTGGAGACAGAACTGGCCCAGCATTTCCAACTACCAGCATCTGTGTAGGCTGACATGGGTGATGGACTAAGCTGGACCCCATATGACAAGCACACACAAGAGTCAGGTCTGGGATTGCCTCAGATAAGGTTACGACTGAACTGCTGGACTCAGAACTCCAACCATGGGGAGAATGGTAGGATCTGTCGTCGGACTGTGGAGTGCATTTTCAGAACTGGATCTCCTCAGTGGCTAAGATGGAGCAGTGGATAGCATACCAAGATGCACATAGATGCTATGCAATCATTGGGACCTGCAGAGGACATCTGGTATCATAGCAGAGGAAGGAGTGCAGAACAAATTGCTCAAACACCCCAGCCAAATGTTGACAGCAAATAGGACAAATGGAGACTCTGGGGTAAACTATGTCATCAGATGTACCTTGGAAGGATTTCCTCATTCTTGAATCAGCAAGACTGATGGCATTTCATAACTATCAGAACCACCCAAGTGGAGCCCTCAGAGCAGACCCCACATTAGAGACCCTAGGATGGCATCAGGTGGCTGTTCCCCAACCTCAGGACTGGAGTAGTGGGGAGGCGGGTAACAATTTCACCCCTAGAATTGCCCCTTACTTCAAACACAGGAGGAAGAAAGGGAAAACTGGAAAACAATTGTCTCACCAACATTGCCCTAGTCCTTGACCATTCTCATTCTGGTCAACTATAAAAACATCAAAAATCAAAAAATTTTAAATGTTGTATAAATACTTAATGGAATATTATTCAGCCATAAAAAGGAATGAAATTCCATTTTTCCTAACAACATACATGCAACTGGAAACTATCATTCTTAGAATGATAGATCACCTCAGAGATGTATAATATATAGATTTTATGATTTATGATGTAGGAGGACATTGTGAGCCTGGAAGGTCAGCGAGCACAGGTTTGCAGTTCATTGGACAGTATTTGCATGACAACAACCAAATGGCTACCTTTGGTATAAACAGCATGTAAATGAGAACACCTGGGGTAATATACAAAACAAAAGGAATTCCAATCAAGAGAGGGAAACAGTAAGGACTCTCAGTGTATAAAGTCTGATGCCCCTAATAAACTTCGGCTTTGACCATCAGTCAGGGTCCACGCGTGTTATTATTGGCTCCGTGCACCAAGTCCATCGCTGTGGGACAGCGACATATAATAACCAATATACCAAGTTTCAAAAAGTACAATTTATATAAACAAAATCAACATTTTGAGATATGATTATTACTTATTACCCTTGTCTACATTCTTAAGAAATATTTTTCTACTTACTACTTATTGAATTATTATTTTGAGAAGTTAAGCTTGCTATTATGAAGTAAATTTAAAATATGCTATTACAAAAATTTTTTAAATAAGATGGAGGGTAGAAATATCAATATGTCAATAAAATGCTATACATGAAATACATGAAATTAGTTCACTTTTATAAACTTTAAAAGTATAAAATAAATTTTTGGTTTTTTATAAAAAAAAAAAAAGACCGTAATAAAGAACTGCATCTACTAACCATTGGGTCTTCCTTCTCTCTCTCTAGGTGTGACTGCCATTATGGTGCCAAACTACACATCAGTGTCTGAATTCATCCTCGTGGGCTTCTCTTCTTTCCCCCGTTTTCAGCTCATTTTCTTCATGCTGTTCCTGCTGATGTATCTGTTCACCCTGCTGGGGAACCTGCTCATCATGGCCACCATCTGGAGTGAACACAGCCTACATACACCCATGTACTTCTTCCTTTGTGCCCTTTCCATATCTGAGATTCTGTACACCTTTGCCATCATCCCACGCATGCTGGGAGATCTGCTCTTCCCCCACAGCTCCTCCATCACTTTTATGGCTTGTGCTAGCCAGATGTTCTTCTCCTTCATGTTTGGTTTCACTCACTCTTTCCTGCTCACTGTCATGGGCTATGACCGCTATGTTGCCATTTGTCAGCCCCTGCGCTACAATGTGCTCATGAGACCCCATGGCTGTGCCTGCCTGGTAGCCTGGTCTTGGGCTGGCGGCTCAGTCATTGGTATGGTGGTGACAATGTCTGTATTCCATCTGACTTTCTGTGGATCCAATGTGATCCACCACTTCTTCTGTCATGTACCACCTTTACTGAAGTTGGCTTGTGGACATGAGGCGCTGGTAGTTGCCAAGAGTATGGGCCTGATGTGCATCACAGCTCTATTGGGCTGCTTCTTCCTCATCCTTCTATCCTATGTCTTCATTGTAACCACTATCTTGAAAATACCATCGATTGCAGGTCAGTACAAAGCCTTCTCCACCTGTGCGTCCCACCTTACTGTGGTGGTTGTGCATTATGGCTTTGCCTCTGTCATCTACCTCAAGCCCAATGGCTCACAGTCTCTGGAAGGAGACTCTCTGATGGGCATAACCTACACAGTCCTCACTCCCTTCCTCAGCCCTATCATCTTCAGCCTTAGGAACAAGGAGCTGAAGATTGCCATGAAGAAAAGCTTCTTCAACAAACTCTTTCCCCAGAACTCCTAAACTTGCTCATTTTCTGGAAGGAAATGTGGTGAATGGGGAACTTTCTTTTTCTTCCTCTTGCTCCTTCATCCTTTATTCTTATCTCTTTCAGTCTCCATTTATCTGGTTTTTAAAAATTAATGTATTTTTAACACAGTCCCATTGGCTCAGGGATTTCCTCTCCTCCCTTTATAATTCCCCCACACACACTGATTTTCCTAGTACAGTCCTTCAAAAACAGTCATAAGTCCATTAGTTTGCTATTTACGAGAATCCTGATATTGTTGACATAGACAATGGAATAAGAGCCCAGCATCCTATTGTATCAGTGTTCACAAAATAAATTTTGTTGATTATTATTTATCATTATGAAGACTGAAAACTTTGAATTGTTTCTTAAATATTTACAGATTTGGAAATTAAGTTTTCATACAATTCATATTTAGCTTCTCCTAGTGATTTTGGAGTATTTGATATTTTGACATTTTCTACATAAGTTATGCAAAAAATTACCTAAAAAACTTCCTGTCACTCATGAAGTCAGTTTAGTCATCTATTTTTTTCACTTTTGCAGGATTTTTTTTTTATTAATTACATTGCACTATGTGACACAGTTTTATAGACACTGGGATTCCTCCCACCCCTCCCATAACCCTCCCCGCAAGGTGGATTCATCCACCTTGCTGCATTGCCACAGTTCAAGTCAGTTGAGATACTTTCATTGCAAGCATATACCAAGCATAGAGTCCAGTAACTTAGTGTCCAGATAAGTTCAACGGCTTCTTGGGGAGACCATCTCTGGTCTGAAGGCAGAGCCAGCAGAGTATCATCCTGATCAATTAAAAGCCCCAACATAACATCAGCAACAAATTATACCATTATGGAATTAGTGGACATAGTATTGAGTAACTAATATGTTATAAAAAAAAATTCAAGTTCTTAACCACATCCTGTGACTTCTTCATTGACATTTTGATTTTAGTTTATATACAATCGGTTCTATACACCTTAAAATTGCTGTAGATTACTATTCAGCTGTCTTGTGTCTATTTTCGTTGTAGTATTTAGCTTTTTATAGCACTGAAGCGTAATTTTGCTGGGCCTGGCTTTTTTTTCTTCTTCTTTTTTTGTTTTTTTTTTTGGGGGGGGGGGAATTTAGACTGGCTTATAACTCTAACAAGATATATGTTGACAGTTTAGGTGCAGAACAGTTTAAAGGAGGGGTGTGCAGAGAAATCTTCAATGCCCTAGTGAGGAATAATTAATCTTTGTGTCCCACTTAGTAAGATAAAAGTGAGTCCACGCTGGCCACTTCCCATCTGATTCTAGTCTTTCCTGTTGTTCTCTATCTATTCTAGATTTTTGGTTTGTTTGTTTGATTGATTGTTTATTTGTTTTGAGGGGTTTCCAGAGCGACCCGGATGGTCATTGCCAGAGAGGGTGTGGACCCAAAGTTGGAACCAAGCGAGGACCAGAGAGAGCTCCCGTCCTTATTCCCGAAGGAAGTTTACTGTTCTGTTTCTGCAGACTGTGAGCCCTGAGCCATCCGCAGAAGCAGAATAGTCATGTATTTTTAACTCACAAGAATTTCTCACTTCACAATGATGTTGTGTAGATTTATTAGTTACATTATGAAACTGAGCTGTAATGATACTATCGGTTATTTAAAGGAATCACTCCTAAACTGAAAAATCCAGAATTAATCTTATTTTTTAAATTTTAACTTCTCAATCAAAACATTTCTTAGAAGGCTATGAGGAGAAGCCAGTCTGTTTCAGAAATGAATGAAGACCATTGTTTCAGTTAAGATAGAAATTCTAGCTAATATGAATGAAAAGAGACCAAGATGAGAAATATAGTTATTATTGGATTAAAGCCAGTATAAGAGAAGTAACAACATGTTTGGCCAAACTGGCTACAGTTTTTTAAATAGATCATTACTGTGGAGCAACATTCAATAATATTGAATGCCACATATCCAAAACTCTTGAGAGCAGAGGTGTTTTAGATTTTAGATTCTTTTTGAGTTTTGGGATATCCACATGTCCATAATAAGATATCCTATCAATGGGACCCAGCTCTAATTTATGTCTCACATACACCTTACGCATATTGGCTGCAGACAATTTTCTACAGTATTTTAGTCTGCTTGTGTTTTGACTGCAAATTATAACATGAGGTTGGGTAAATAATATTTCACTTGTAGAATCATGTCAATGCTCAGATGTTTACAGGTCAAAACTTTCTGAAATTCATAGCTCCCGAATATCTTGTTGTTTGTGTTTCTTGCTAATGATCTCCTTTGTGGACATTCCTCAGCATCCCCAGGGCAGCTCCAGAACCCAGAGAGGTGATTACAGGCAGGGGCACCAATACAGACTATGACTGTGACAGATCCCCAGACACTGCCTAATTGGAAAGCAGTGTTGTGATGCTGAGTCCCCCTTGAGATGAGATGTATTTCCCTGCCTTCTTTTGTTCTGGTCTTCCCTGATGTTGATACAATCCCCTTGATCGTAACAAAATGTCATCCTCCCCTCCTGTATGTTTTCTTTATTCCTCCCCCAAAGCTCCAGTGTACCTCTACCTAAAAATCAGGGATATTTCTTAAACAAAATACTTAAAATTTCTCTTATGCTTAAACCATCCTTTTTTTGCAGAAAAGTACAAATTCTAGAGTGGTTAACACCAACAAGACCACAGGGTCAGTTATCACTTCATCTCTGAATTTATCCTTTCAGCTACAATGATCTCCCTCCTAGTGCTGCAGAAAATCAGGTACATCTGGACCTCAGGCCTCTTGCTCCCACTACACAAACAACCTGAAATCCTTTTTCCCTGTCTAGTCTTAGACAGCCATGGATCTGACCTAAAGCATTCCTTCTAGAAATCTCTCCCCTGATTTTCCACACTATTACCATCTCTACCACAGCCCTTTATTGAAACACATTCATTGCCTTTGTAGCTTTTATCACAACCAACACATATAGTAATGTGTATAGTAATTCCTCAATATCCACAGGGAATTGCATCCAGGACACCTGAAGAAACAAAAGCTGTAAATATTCAAGTTCTTCAAATTTTATATTTCCATATTGCCAAGGGGCACCCACACACATACTTTAATCATATTAAGTAGCATGACATCACAATTTTGTAAGTGGCTCTTTCTTGTATTTCTCAGCAAAATGACAACAGAATTCTGAACATGTGCAGTGCACTTGCAATTGCAGATTCAAGTATTTTGATCCACAATTGCTATAATATATGGATGAAAAAATACAGATGTGGAAATCCAAGTATATAGACTTTGCTTTTTTTAGATTTTATTTTATTTTTACTGGAAAATCAGATATACAGAGAGAATGAGAGACAGAGAGGAAAATCATCCATCTGTTGATTCCCTCCCCAAGTAGCCAGATCGACCAGAGCTGAGCCAATCTGAAGCCAGGAACCAGGAGACTCCTCCAGATCTCCCATGTGGGTGCAGGGTCTCGAGGCTTTGGGCCATCCTTGACTGTTTTCCCAGGCCACAAGCAGGGAGCTGGATGGGAAGTGGACCTCCCGGGATTAGAACCAGCATCCATATGGGATCCTGGCACATGAAAGGCAAGGACTTTAGACACTAGGCTATCATGCCGAGCCCATAGATTTTTTTCAATCTCTATGTTTTCCTTTCTTGAGTGCAAACCCTGGATAAATTCTCCAATGCCACCTAGAAACGTGTCTGGAACACAGTAGATGCTCGATACATGTTTCCTGAATGAATATAGCAGTTTTACATCCTTCATGCTAACACTGAAGATGGTGATAGACTCTAACCTGTGCATTGCGGAGTTTGAGCAGAATTCCTGACCCTTGACCTTTTAGATGCTGGACTTTAGGACTTTATTTCTTCCTTCAGCTGCACCAACCAAAATGTCTCCAAAAACTTCCAAGTTTCTCCAAGGAGTTTGAAAATTATCTCTTAGAAGAAGATCATTAGAATGAATGAAGGTAAAGCTAAAATATATGTCTGACTGCAGATCTTGCATCTCTTGGCAGTCCTGGACTATCACACAGTAATCTGTCTGTTACTGACTTTGATATGCTAGCTTCACTGCTCCAAAGAATGATATCACACTTTAAACACCGTTCTGGAGTATGTTTTTGAAAGTTTCTGAGATTAGCATTCATACTGGTAGACTACAAAGCTGGTTGCTTAATGTCACATGGATCCACATAGAATAGAAGAACACAGAAACTGGCTGCATGAACCGGGAGGGTAATCATCACTTGCCCTCGGTGTCCTGGTTCTCAGGCAGTTGAAGTCTCACAAGAGTGTACATCACTGACTGGCTGGTTCTCAATAATTTAGACTGCATTGCTGGATTTCCATGATCTCTACCTTATGTATAGATCACTGGATGTCCCAATTTCCATAATTGCAAGAAGCAATAGCTTATATAAGGTACACAAAAATATATACATATCCTTTTAGTTCTTTTTCCTTGGAGAACTATGAATTACATGCTTCATCTGATATTTCTCTGTGTGTCTTTTTGCAAAGTGCAATAGAAACACCTCAAAGCCAGGGAACTGTAGTGTTCCCAACTTTGTACTCCAAATATGAGCACTTTAGAGACATAGATGATCACAAATAAATTACTAAATTTGTCTTAAAATATGGCAATTATCAAATGCTTTATCTTGAAAGACATTATCCAATTTGCATAAACAAAAATATTGAGAGCAATAAAATTTTTTAAAGATTTATTTTTATTATGTTTTTATTGGAAAGGCGGATATACAGAGAGGAGAGACAGAGAGGAAGATCTTCCATCCAATGATTCACTCCCCAAGTGAGCGCAATGGCCGATACTATGCCAATCCGAAGCCAGGAGCCTCTTCCGGGTCTCCCACGCGGGTGCAGGGTCCCAAAGCTTTGGGCTGTCCTCCACTGCTTTCCCGGGCCACAGGCAGGGAGCTGGAAGGGAAGTGGGGCACCCGGGTTTAGAACAGGCGCCCATATGGGATCCCGG